AATAATAAATTAAAAAAAATACTGTTGTCTTGGATCAGATGCACCTTAGTTCTCAATGTGGTACCTTTGCTTTTGAACACCTGAGAGAGGTCTTTTACAATACATCATTTGATTTCTTGACTGCTATATCTATGAACATTGCTTGTGGATCCAAGTGAAAGTAAATCCTTGACAATTTCACTATGTTCTCCATGTTATATTCTTATGACATTCTAATTATTTGAACATTGGTATTGGAGAAGAGTACTGAATATCCCATGGACTGCCAAAAGAACAAAGAAGGTATAGACTGCTGCTCCCTGGAGGCAAAGGTGATAAAAGCTTTGTCTCACATACTCTAGGCATGTTACTAGGTGAAGCTATTCCTTGGACAGGGACATCACACTTGGGAAGATGAAGATTAGCTAAAGAGAGGAAGACTCTCAACCAAGTGGACTGACAACAGTGACTGCAGGAAGGGTTCAAGTGTGTCAGAGATTATAAACATGGCTCAGGACAGGACACGGTTCAAATCTGTCATAGGGCCACTCTGAATCATACCCAACTCAGTGGCACCTAAAAGCAACAACATAAACTACAAGCCAGAATATCTGGCAGCTCATAAGACACTATTTTTTTTTTACCCATGCTAGCAAACAACCTTCTACATTGACCCACTCAGGTGAGGTCAGCTGCCCCTTCTCCAAAGCCCCCACAACTTCCAAGCTCCATTTCATTATATTGATGAAAATAATGACCCATCTCAATGTTCTACCTCTTCCACTGGAAGTCAGCTCTGAGAGGACAGAGACTGAGTGTTCAGCTTTCGGTCCCAGAGCCCTGCAGTACCTGTGCCTTTGTGAGATCTCGTAATATTTGCTGAGTGAATGAATGAATGAATGCTTCTGCTGAAGTCTGCCATTCCCTGCTCCTCCATCTCCTGTGTTGTCAGTGTCCTTGCTGTTCATTCCTTCCTGAGGTTGTTCTTGTCTCCCAAATGCTGGCCCCTTTCCTCTTTGCTACATTCAGTGTGCAGGAACTGAGCACGTGCTCCCAATTACTCTCCATGCCTTACACACTCTGTGCTTCCATATCACTGTATTAAAATTACCTGGTTACTTGTATCTCCCTCACTAGATTAGGACTTCCTTATGGTCAGGAACTAGATTTGATCTTTGAATGATGGCCCTAAATACAGCTGGGTGTGCTACTGAAAAGTTCTTGAAGGCAGCCAGTTTCCAGTGTCTAATCTTAGCCTGACTTTGGGTCACTTTCTGAAACAAATGTCTTCCTTGTCAAGATGCCACCCTATCATCTACTTCCAGCGCCCCCTTCATTTTGCTTTGCAAGCACACAGTGAGCTCTTCTAAACAGGCGGGGGGGGGAAGCTTTGGTCTTCTTAAAAATGTGTCGAAGAACAGGATACAGGTGCCACGGTTAAGACGAGGTG